TTTGTTTGTTGTTTAACGCCGCATTCAGCACTATTCCAGCTATATGACGTCGGTCTGTAAATGATCGAGTCTGAACCAGACAATCCAGTGATTGACATCATGAGCATCGATCCACGCAATTGGAATACGATGACATGCATCAACCAAGTCAGCGAGCCTGACCACCTTATCCTGTTAGTCGCCTCTCACGACAAGCATAGTCGCCTTTTACGGCAAGCATGGTTTGCTGAAGACCTATTCTACCCCGGATCTATTTAAAGGCTATTATCGATGAAATGGATAACCCATTCAAACCAATGGACTAAACCTTTGCGACTTCACTCAATTTCTATGTAAATCCCGAAATAGGTATCCTAGATCGAAACTGAAAACGCAGCACGCTTATCTCCTTCTTAACACATGCACCACAGGGCAGAGAGACACATATATAGTGAACAGAAGAACAGAAGAATAAATACAATCGACTTATACACAGAAAACCACAACATAATAAACACATGTCTGGGAACTAAAGGAAGTTGTTTCTAAAAAATACGGATTTGATCAGACTTAAAATATATGCTGTTGTTCTGTCAGCATAGTGTGTTTTCCCATGATTCGAGTGTTTGCACACCCGCACGAAGAACCAGTTAATGATAATAAATAATCATGGTTATATTTTCTCAAATACACTTTCCTTTCTTGTGACATACCACAAGCCTTTGTCCATTGCCTAGATATAATGTTTGGGCACAATAAACAATTGAACATCAGTTCTATCAGAAACATTAAACACCACTGAAAGAATTGTCTACATGCAACGAAACACATTTGATGTTATCTTGGGACAATGTTCAAGTTTCTGAGTCAATGACATTAAACGTGTTTGTGAGTTGAAATTTAAAGTCACATCGGCACTATTTCATCAATGTTGTGACTATGAAAAATTATACATAAAATATACATTTAGACTATACAAACAACTGTCAACAAAGGACAGTAAAAAAACTAGACTATCACAGATATATTTTTAAAAAGTAGTATACACCTCATTAAAAGTATCGCATAGCAAGATTTTGTGATAATCAGAAAAGACATGGGTAAGGAGGAGCTCGAAAGCGAAAGATAAGAAATTAAAAGTGGTACTTAATGTAATTATTTTTGGTTAAATTCATGAAAAATAGGAAAGATTAGCATTTGCAACAGAAGCAAATTTATCCGCCAGCGACTAAAAGGAGTGTAATATGGGATATGGCAACTGTCAAGAATAAGCTGGACAGATCAACACGTAGTAACGCAATCTCATTAAAATCACATCTTAGTTCTCGCTATCCCCATAACAAAGATCTGAGGACATCCAATTACGGGTCACGTCAGAACGACCTTTCATCCGACCAATCAAAGCATCGCTTACCAGATCATGAAAGTGACAGTCGGAATGTGTTTTCTAATCATGCAACCTCGAAAACGTTAACACCGGGTATACCGAACGACAGTTACGGCCCGTACGACTGATTCCGTCAAAATTATCGTCTATCTCTCGGTTCGTTGGATAAACATTTGAACGGAGGACGCGTTGCACAGAACGTGGGAAGCACTGCCATACAATCGCAGCCATATATTAGACATTCCGGAATGTTCGTTTGTTCAGTTTTCAAACTTTTTATCGAGACCTGTGTCAACATATTTTTCAAGCGTAGTCTGAAATGGAAGTCGCCAGGTTAAAACGAGTGCCGTAAAGCTCGAGAAAGCTGCTTTCTTATTGGCTGATGTGGACTTCTTGTTAGTTGTTTCAGTGGTCGGTCAAAGTTCGCGAAAGGTCGTTCTGACGTGACCCGTAATGGGATGTCCTCAGATCTTTGTTTAGCGGCAGCGAGAACTTAGATCTGATTTTAATGAGATTGGTAGTAACGTTGTACCCATGTCACAGTTAAATGATAAACAGTGAAAGTCAATATCTGGCGTAGCCTTCCCGAAAACAGATCACATCCGACAAACGTCTCCTCATGCTCAAAAGCAGACCCCTGATTCACAACTTGGGAATGTGTTGCCATTCCTGATGCAAAGCCTGGGTCAGTTCATGGAGATGCTGTACTGGAGGACCGGTTCTAACCCTACGCCCTAAATGATCCCATAGATGCTCGATTGGATTCAGGTCTGGGCTTCGACAAGGCCAAGGCAGAGTCTCAGTGGCGTTGTTCTGGAGATGGGCAGTCACAGCTCGTACTCGGTGGGGTCGGGCATTGTCGTCCATGAAGACAGGGGGTGTGGAAAGTGCATGATTATCACAATGAGACTCAACAAAACCACTTGATATGGTATCTTGGTACATTTGTCAATTTTATGTCCTTTGAACTGTGACAAAGTTAAGTTTACAATCAAAGAAGTAACATACACATACCATCACTGAGCATCCACCATATGCCACTGTTTCCTGCATGTTGCGCTGATGATAGATGTTCCACTTAGCCTCTAGACACGAGTCCTACCATCAGTGAACACTCCTCAATGATCTCAAGTTCCTGTGTGCTAGAGCCTGACAACCAGGCTGAACAGTCCCGCATTTGTTTGGGTGAGAGGAATGGACGTCTTATTGGCCCAGTTGTGGGTATACCAGTGATGACGAAGAACGGTGCAAGATGAAATTGTCAGTCCTTTTCCCTGGCCTACAAGGACGCTGTCCTCTCTGGCACTGGTCTTCCGTGGACGTCCTGATCTCGGCAAGTCCCTCACCTGTCCAGTCAATGTGTGTTTTCTAATGAGTCGACTGACTGCAGTATGATTAATGTTCAACACGGGGCAATAGCCCGACATGACATGCCAGTTCGGTGCATTCCAATGATTTGTCATCTTTAATGTTTTGGGATAGTATGCTTAGGCATTTCAATTACAATAGTTCCAAAGACAGACTTTGAAATTAGTAGCACTTTCACTGAAATTAATAGCAGTAAAGACGCACATATTTTCTTTCATCAAACATGGATTTCTCTGTAGGGACCCCTCAGGTGTGTTTACAGCTTGCATAAACGCACCCACAAGGTTGGGTAATTGAGGTGGCTACCATTCTACAGGCAACTCGTGGGTCAACTCACAGCGTACCATTTGAAAATCTCAACATTGTAATTACATTTAAAATTTGGTGGTGCAATACTTTTGACGAGGTGTTAACGTGAAAAGATATTGCTATGCATGACAAGACGGACTAAATATCACCATCAACCAAAGTTAGGCCACCATTCTAGGGACCATGGGGACTTACGGTACCACTACTACCCCTGCATGGTATATGTACGTCAGCAATGGGACTACAAACACAAGTTGACAAATTGAAGCTGTTATATATTAGATTATAGGTCGAAATCATTGTAACCGAAAGAGAACGTCTACTGTGACATATCTTGTTAAGATATCAGTATGTGGGATGGCACCGATGTCAATGTCAATGGAATGTTTACTGTTGTGAACACAAAATGCCTTTTATAAAGTGGTCAAATGTAACACATGTTATAATTGGGATAACACTTTCTTAGTAAAATACAGATTCCACTGCCAGGATGAGGCACATCATTGCCAGCGCATAAAGTCGGTGGTCTAACCCACTCAGCCACCGAGGTTTCCACAAAAATGAAAATCCGACAACTGGTAGTCTGAATGACGTACTTTGTGTACCCCTACTTTACTCAGAAAGTGTTATAACATTTGTCAGATTTACTGTTGTGTTTTGAATACTGGCCTCGTTTCAATAAAATGTTTTGATACTGAGTGAACTGATTTCATATGATGTGGTAACTGATTAATAAATCTCTGAAATCTACGGCAAATCCAGCTTATGGCGTCTACATCTGTCAATTGCTTAGCTACTTCAGAGCATTACATTCAATTCAATACAACTAAGCTTTTCAAACAAGGTTTCACCATCAAATGCCTTTTTTAAAGTCATGCCAGAAATATCATGGTTGACATTCAGAGAATTTATCAAATACAACACGTCCGTTTCAGATGGATAGCCCACTCAGACACATTATACTGATTTCAAGCCGACCAGTCCTTTTTTATTTTCTCAATATGGAATCGCCAGGCAGAGTATCAAAAGGTTTTAAGTGTTAACGTCTAGTGGTATGACGCGGCCAGGGGATCGAGCCAGATAATTTCCGCCAGGCTGATGCTCTGTCCATTAAGCCATGGAGACGTTTTGAAACACAGGTCTTGGACAATTGCCACCAGGAACATTGCCACCCAGACAATTCCCACCAGACATTTGCCACCAAGGACAGTTACCACATGGGACAACTGCCGCCCAGTGAATTTACTAGTAGGACTATTCCCACCCAAAATCTTGTATTCTTATTGAATGAAATGTCTTGCTATTGTTCACACTGAGATCAAACACATCTTCTTGAAAGTGAGATGTAAGCAGTTTTCATGTTTTCTTTGCAAAACCTTTGTGTGAGGAGATGATGATTATTGGGAGCAGAGCTGCTTGCTGCATAAAATACCATTGGTTAGGAACTAACTAATATTTGATAACTCCATGATGACACAATGCCATTCTACTCTTATCAAGCGTTCCCTTATTGCTTTCCACCAGTATTCTAGTGAGTGAGTGAGTTGGGTTTAACGCCGTTTTTAACAGTATTCCAGTTATATCGCAGGGTGTCAGCTTAATGTGGGAGGAAAGCCCGAAGTGAGGCAGATTTACCCATTCGGTGAAGCCCACGAGCACGGGTATGGTGCTGACAAACCTAGAAACATAATCGGGGCGAACCGGGATTCGAACCCACAATCATAGGTTTCTGGCGTGCCCAAGGGACGCAACTCTGCACAGCGAATCGCGGCGCCTTGGACGACTGGGCCACCCGTGTCCCCCCACAGTATATTAATTTTTGGTTGTTATTGGTATCATCTGAATAACGTGACTTCAAATATAATGAAATATTTTTTACCTTTTCATATAGCTTAGAAAAGGAAAAGACGCAAAATCTTAATATCTATAAACACAACATCAAATGTCCCCAAACAACTTATTCTTTCTTGGTACAGAATTTGAGAAATGGCAGGAGCATGTAGAAGTTATCCTTGAACCGCTTACTCTGCGAAGCATATAGAAATGGATTGATGGAGGACTTGGCCCACAAGAGCCAGGTAAAGAACTCGTACAGATGTGTGTTGATGCAGTCGTCACATTGGGAGGAGACGAAATTTGCTATGGTGTATGGGGCCCAAGTTAGAAGGAATGCTGCAACCAAAACTGCCAAAAATTTAGCTGCTTTGATGTCCTTTCTATCGGATGTATGTTTAGCGTGTGTTTGCTTAATATCCTTTGCGCTTCCAGGGATTTTCTGTTTGGCTTGGGACGATTCTTGAAAAGATTTTTCGACCTCTGTTGAAATGTTGCTGATTTCAGTTTTTAGCTCTTTGTGTTCGTTGATCGGTACGACTTTAGCCTTATTTCCCTTGTCAAATATCTTCAGTCTTTTTCTAATAGCAAGAAACACTAGAATGTTTAGTACACAGAGTGTTATACAAGGGATGACAAGCTCACATACAGTGGATATGGCACTGAAGTGCATGTCGTCGAAGAACTCAGCATCACAATTTCCATCTTCAATGACACTGTACCCTTTTGCGATGTCCCAGAACACAACACAAGGGCCATATATCCCAAACACTATGACCCAGGCTATTGATATCTTCACCATTGCCACCTTCTTTGTCTCTTTGGCGATATACTCAGCTCCATTTCTAAGAAGGATGACTCTGTCAAGACTCAAAAGGAGAATGAGCAGCACAGACATCAAGCACATAGAATAATCGTTAACGCACCATATCTTGCAGAACACTCGACCAAACACCCAGTTCCAGGATCTGAGCGTGAAATCTGCATAGAAGATCATGCTGATAGCTCCAAGGAAGAGATCCGCTATAGCCAGGTTGAGGATGTAGAGGTTGTGGACAGTCTGTAGTTGTTTGTCTCTGAAGTAAGAGATGATGACGAGAACGTTGCCCACCACAGCAAGCAGTATCAGAACACTCATCCCAACCCCTCCTACTCCATGTACCCAGGATGGGATGTCAACATCGTCTTCAACGTCGTAGTCATCGCCGGTACCCTCTGTCGTCGTAGTCACATTGAAATTGTAACTTAAGGATGAGACAAGCGAAACTGTCATTCTGAAAATGAACCTGAAACAAGACAACAAAATTGATAAGACAAGGTACTAGGTACTATCAGCAATACAGAACATGACGGTCATATTCCACCATAATCAATGTACATTTTCATTTGAATTGATGTTGTTACATTTCGGAATAGAATACACACATGATTTAAGTGATAAATATTTTAATATCAGATCTACATATATGGGTAGGTATGACAAGCCATCATAAATTATTCAGTGTATTATATATTATACTACTTAAAGTTTGCTGGGGATCAAGTTCTGATCATCCAACAAATACAGACCGAAATATTCTGATGAACAATGACTGGGTAACGCCTACATGTCTCAACTTCTTTATGAACGGACACAGGCATGCAGTCATGGGTGCTGAGAAAACATGTGTTTGGATGTATCGTGACAGAATCGTTGCACATCATTATCAGAGAGCACAACAGCATTTGCTACTAAGGATGGCACCAACTGAATGCACGTACGCCCCATCATCGTCAAAGACGTCGTTGTTTGAAACCTGGGTCAACACAACGTCAACTTGCAAAAATCTTTGGTGTCAGTCAAAATGTGATCATCGTGGCATGGAATCGATACCAGACGTTTGGACCAGCACCCAGTGGCATGCAGGTGATCGACAGCGTTCTAACACACAACAGGAAAAAGGGTTTCGTCTGATTACAGCAAGACTTCATCCTCATGGACGAAAACGCACGACCAGGTGCCAGGTTGGTTGGTTAGTTGGGTTTATTTTTGTTTAACGCCACACTCAGCAATATTCCAGCTATATGACGGCGGTCTGTAACTAATCGAGTCTGGACCACACAATCCAGTGATTAATATCATGAGCCTCGATCCACACAATTGGGATACAATGACATGCATTTACCAAGTCAGCGAGCCTGACCACCCGATTCCGTCAGTCGCCTCTCACGTCAAGCATAGCAACGTGCCAGGGTCGTTAATGCTTGCGTAAGGAGACCATTGTCAGCATAGATTGGCCAGCCCCGTCACAAAACCTCAACCCCATCGAACATATGTGTAACGAGCTACAGATGGCCCTTACCCGTGAAGATCCGGATTAGAATAGGTCTTCAGCATCCAATGCAGTGAAGGGCGACTATGCTTGTCGTAAGAGGCGACTAACGGGATCGGGTGGTCAGGCTTGCTCAGTTTGTTGATGCATGTCATCGTATTGTGTGAATCGATACTCATGGTGTCCATCACTGGATTGTCTGGTCCAGACTTGATTATTTACAGACTACCATCATATAGCTGGGATATTGCTGCGTAATGCGTTAAACAACAAACAAACAAACAAAATAAAACATTAGGCACATCAGTGTGTTGGCATTGTGTTGCACATGACATCGGACTTATGTTTATTAAGCATGTCTTCACGCAATATTGTCTTTGGATATATCCCAGGTAAAATATTCTCAATGATCTTTTAATGGCAATTCTGACAATTGATAGAATCAATGGTACCGAAGGCGTTACCCTAATCGAGATACGTATCGGAATCAATAGATTGTTACTTCTTGCAGAATGCGACGTTCACAGGCTGACACAGTGAGTCAATATCCGAGTGGTCGAGAGTAGAACGAGTGGTGATATTAGCCTAATGATCTATCACTGAGATGACTTTCTCAGCGTCCATGGCGAAAGGCAAATACTAGAATCATGGGAAAAACACATTATGCTGCCGGAACAACAGCATGTATTGATCAAACACATATTGGTGAAGAATCAAGGGGCTTTTTGTTCCTGGACATGGCGTGTATTTTATGTTATGGTTTTCTTTTGAAAAAAACATTTTTTCTACATGTTGAATTTGAAATGGGACGTAACAAAAACGTAACGCTGTATGTGGGTTCGAATCCAGATTATGATCGTTGGTTTATCCCCATCATAACCGTGCTTATGGTTGGTTGGTTTATTGTTTAACGCCGCACTCAGCAATATTCCAGCTATTTGACGGCAGTCTGTAAATAATCGAGTCTGGACAAGACAATCCAGTGATTGATATCATGAGCATCGATCCACGCAATTGGGATCGATGACCGTGCATCAACCAAGTCAGCGAGCCTGACTACCCGATCCCGTTAGTCGCTTTTTACGACAAGCATAGTCGCCTTTTATGGCAAGCATGGGTTGCTGAAGACCTATTCTACCCCGGAATCTTCACGGGTCTGGCTTCCATCCAAATTCACCTTTACATTCACGTGAAAATGATACATAATGTTTCTGATGAAATTCCATATTGTGTTCAGATGAAACGCTGGTTAAATGTTTTAATGTATACAATTCTAACCAAATACTAATTAAATTCACATCAACCAGCTCTTATTCATGTTAATGGTATGCCTCCCTGTCTAACATCAGACATGTCCAGTGCAACTGTTCGTCAAGGAAATACATTAAAAAAGTTACTTATACTTATTGTCCATCACTGACCAACGTCACAGCCGGAATGTTGCTGAATGTGGCTTTAAACATGAAACACACATTGTGCTTTACGTTTCATGAAAGATTCGGTTTTCCAACTGAATGTTACTGGAAAAATCAAACTTGTTTGGGTAATTATTTCTATTCTGTAATAGCCACATCTCCATTGGAATCAGTGTAAATAATATCGACTCACTTGTCACACGGTACACTGATAATTCGATAAATTCATATTTGTATTTATTATATAAGACCATGACGATGCACGTTCCGGTTTCCATCATTTTCAGCCATTAAGCTGTATCAACACATTTCCACTTAATTCTACGCTAATTATCAGAACACACAATTTAAGCCTTTGACATTTCGCTTATAACTTGAATGTGAATTTTGTCAACACAATTACCCCTGCCCCGATCTAAACTTATATTTACATCTCGGTGTTTGAAATGTCATTTTCTGAGTAAATATGTGCCGAAGAAAATAACTCATGGAGTCGAATAATTTTACTATCATTTTCCCCGGACGCAAGTCATTAACCGTTTATCTGGTGGAAAGGGACTTATATCAGTAACCCGTCTACGTTACTGTTTCAACATATTTCCACAATGAGAGTCCTACAGCAGCATCCTCAAAAAGCGGGCGTTGGGGTAGCCTGATGGTTAACTCGTTAACTCGTCACGCCAGGGACCAGGGTTCGATTCCCCACTTGGGTACAATGTGTGAACCCCTTTCTGTGGACTTGGACAAGCTCTGATTGATGTCTTTTTACAGATATTCCCTCCGTGGTCTAGTGGATAGAACGTTTGCCTGGAGAGCTGAAGGTCGGGGCTTCGATCCCCGGCCGCGTCATACCAAAAGACGTTAAAAAAAGGTACTTGTTGTTATCCTGCCTGGCGCTCGGCATTAAGGGGCTAAAACAAGGACTAGTCGCCTCGGAGTCAGAATAATGTGTCTGAATGGAGTATTCATGTTAAAGTGCTACATGGTATCTCAGTGGGCTACCACTATAAAATCGGCATTAGTTCGGACGTGTACAAGCAGCCGCACACACACACACACACACACGCGCACACACACACACACACACACACACACACACACACACACACACACACACACACACACACACATACACACACACACACACACACACACACACACACACACACACACGTGCATGCACGTCGCTACAACAGTGCAATAATCTTGAACGCGACGTTAAACCCCATTTCACCTCAACTTTTTTTCTTACTCGAATATTCATATTGTATACAATCCGTCCGTGAGTTACAAGTCAGATGTAGGTAATAGAGACACTCGTCTTGACCCAAACCTGAGTGATGTTGTGAACAGAGACAATCGTCTTGACCCAAACGTGAGTGATGTAGGTAATAGAGACACTCGTCTTGACCCAAACGTGAGTGATGCTGTGAACAGAGACACTCGTCTTGACCCAAACGTGAGTGATGCTGTGAACAGAGACAATCGCCTTGACCCAATCGTTAGTGATGTAGGTAATAGAGACACTCGTCTTGACCCAAACGTGAGTGATGCTGTGAACAGAGACACTCGTCTTGACCCAAACGTGAGTGATGCTGTGAACAGAGACAATCGCCTTGACCCAAACGTGAGTGATGCTGTGAACAGAGACACTCGTCTTGACCCAAACGTGAGTGATGCTGTGAACAGAGACACTCGTCTTGACCCAAACGTGAGTGATGCTGTGAACAGAGACAATCGCCTTGACCCAAACGTGAGTGATGCTGTGAACAGAGACACTCGTCTTGACCCAAACGTGAGTGATGCTGTGAACAGAGACACTCGTCTTGACCCAAACGTGAGTGATGCTGTGAACAGAGACAATCGCCTTGACCCAATCGTTAGTGATGTAGGTAATAGAGACACTCGTCTTGACCCAAACGTGAGTGATGCTGTGAACAGAGACAATCGCCTTGACCCAAACGTGAGTGATGCTGTGAACAGAGACACTCGTCTTGACCCAAACGTGAGTGATGCTGTGAACAGAGACACTCGTCTTGACCCAAACGTGAGTGATGCTGTGAACAGAGACAATCGCCTTGACCCAAACGTGAGTGATGCTGTGAACAGAGACAATCGCCTTGACCCAAACGTGAGTGATGCTGTGAACAGAGACAATCGCCTTGACCCAAACGTGAGTGATGCTGTGAACAGAGACACTCGTCTTGACCCAAACGTGAGTGATGCTGTGAACAGAGACACTCGTCTTGACCCAAACGTGAGTGATGCTGTGAACAGAGACAATCGCCTTGACCCAATCGTTAGTGATGTAGGTAATAGAGACACTCGTCTTGACCCAAACGTGAGTGATGCTGTGAACAGAGACAATCGCCTTGACCCAAACGTGAGTGATGCTGTGAACAGAGACAATCGCCTTGACCCAAACGTGAGTGATGCTGTGAACAGAGACAATCGCCTTGACCCAAACGTGAGTGATGCTGTGAACAGAGACAATCGCACTTCCCTGATTGTGCATGATGTAAAGAGCAGAGACATCAGACTGATAA